CTCTTTCTCTCTCAAATAAATAAAATAAAATCTTTTAAAACAACAACAAAAAAACCCCATCCTCAGCTCCTAGCCTGAAAATGTCTGACAAATGGTGTTTCATTTCTCCTGTGAGTGGTCATAACTTTAAATATAAAGTAATGTAGCCACTTTGGAAAACAGTCTGGCAGTTCCTCAAAACCTCAAACACAGTTACCAGGAGCCCCAGCAATTCCACTCCTAGGGACATGCCCAAGAGAACTGAAAACCTCTGTCCACACAAAACCTTTTACACAAATGTTCACAGCAGCATTATTCATAAGAACCAAAACGTGCAAACAACCCAAGTGTCCGCCAACTGATGAATGGAGAAATAAAATGTGATATATCCACACAATGGAATATTATTCAACCATAAAAAGAAAGGAAGTTCTGACACACTCTACAGCATGGATGAACCTTAAAAACACTATGCTGAGTGAAAGAAGTCACAAAAGCTCACTTATTGGATGGGACTGCCTTTAGATAGAATTTCCAGAAGAGGAATGCCTGGGTGGCTCAGTCGGTTAAGCATCTGCCTTCGGCTCAGGTCACCATCCCAGACTCCTGGGATCGAGCCCCGCATCAGGCTTCTCGCTCAGCCGGGAGCCTGCTTCTCCCTCTGCCTGCCCCTCCCCTGGCTTGTGTGCTCTCTCTCTCACAAATAAATAAATAAAATCTTTAAATAAATAAATAATAGAATTTCCAGAACAGACAAACCCGTAGAGACAGCAGGTAGATTTGGGGTTGCCTAAGGCTGCCAGTGTGGAGGGGAAAGTAATTGCTAATGAGTACTGGCTTCCTGGCAAGTGAGGAAAATGTTGTTAAATTAGATAGCGGTGGTGGTTGCATGACTATGTGGATACACTAACAACCACTGAATTGTACACTTTAGCAGGTGAATTTTATGGTATAGGAATGAGATCTCCATAAAGCTGCTATTTTTAAAAACGAAAAAACCAAAGTGATACGGTGACCTGTTCTTTAAGCAAACTTACTAAAATCAACAAGGAAATTTTAAAATGGTAATAGCTTGTTTTCAAGAGGAGCTCTGTGTACCAGCATCGTGTGGCAATGTGGCAGGATGGGACAGCAGGATGGCCAAGACCACCCGCCTCCTCGGCTCGCTGGGCACCTTCTAGGGTGACTTCTGGAAGTCTGGCTTGGGCGACTCCGTGGGGGGTAGGGGTGGGGGGTCGCTGACGGCTTCCGACAATGGAGACGAGATGCGGGGGTGGCGGGGGGGGGGGATGAGGGGGGTTGTGTCCTCCTGCCCGGCCTCCCACCGCACCCTTTCTTTTGTACCCTCAGAAGGCTCAGACCGCCCGCTCACCCCCAGGATCCCCAGCACCCAAGGGCTGCGCCAGGCACGAAGTAGGTGTATCGCTCGGTTCAGAAAATGGGGTGCTTAATGAGCGAAGTGCCTTGTACCGTAGCCCCCGGTTCACGGTATTCGGCTCTGGCCGCCAGGTCGCGGGGTGGGGGGCCGCAAGGGGTCCGGGAGCGGCGCCGACTGCACTTGCTTCTAG